TATATTTAAATAATTACTTAATTTTTAAGTAAATAATATAATCTAAATCACCTTTTGTACCCAAACCACTCTCTCACACACTTTTTCCTCTAAATTCTTTACTCACTTTTAGTAGCCCTATTTGTTTCTTGCACAGAACTAAATATAAACACACTGAGCCTCATTCGTGAAACATGATAAAAACTGATTTCTGTGTAAATCGTTATTAAATCCATTCTTATGTAAATTTATGTAAGAATGAATTTATGAATGATTTAACACAAAATGTCCTCTGCTTGTGTTTCATGAATGAGGCCCATGCCGCGCCATTCTCTCTGACTCCAGAAAGCAATTATGTTAATGTTCTTCAGTCTAACATCATTATTATTGTCAGAAACAGTGATTTCAAACATTTATTTTTAGATCTTTATTAACAAAGTTTGTTTTACCCAAACGTTTTTGCTTATTTGGATAAAGACTTTCACAGAATGAAACAAGAACTCTTTATCTCTCTCTCTGTTACACACCCTCACACAGATGATGAATATTAGGCATATTTGCGGCCAGACTTTATAGTTGGACCCAGGTTTTCCTGCCAAGTGGATTAGAGGTGTGGGGTTGATTTCAGATTATTCTCAGATGGCATGATTAATTAGGTGTCCTCTCAAGCTCCATCTGCCTCTCACCAGATGTGTTCAGGGACAGGGAAAGACCTCCTGAGACTACACAGAGCTCTTTGTGTCACGCCACCCTGAGCTTTACCAGAATCCCCCTCAACTCAAAGAGAACAAAATGAAGCTTGGACCAAGATTCTTCTTTTGTTTATCGATCTCTATATGAAACTTTGTTATTTCTCTGACTGAAAACAAATCGAGCGGCAACACATCGCTAATGACCAATGATGTACTTTTCTGAGAGCCTCCATTTTCTGCATATCTCTACGGCGGAGTCGGATCCAACGTCTCCGGCGGTTGGTGTGGTACATCTTCTCGGATGGAACCCAGGACTTTGGGCGGCGGTCTGGGGGGAGGGTTATTCCATATTCCCACCCTACAGGTAGAAGAAGATTTATTGTAAAGACATTTCTTTTGCAAATCTTCTCAATGTACGAAATAATGAAGAGCAGAAGTCAGTGGCGTACGTGTGCCGTAAAGACTTCTCAAAGTTTCCATACCTTGATCATCCACTGCACGCTTCAGATCCTCGCTCCACTCAATATCCTCCCACACCCAGCCGGGGGGACACTCGATCTCATCTTTAGGCACGGCCTTTTCTCCATTCTGCCCCCCAGTGGACACATAAAGAAAAAAAATGTCAGTTCCTGCCAAATTACGGGGCATAGAGGAGAAACAATAGTGTACAATATGTGGAAAATAATGTATTTTTTTTACTTTGAAACTGCATAAACACATTTCATTACACCAAATACACAAAATAATGTTCTTTTTAGCAACATCATATGACCCCTTTAATGTAGAACATATTAGTCCACATTTTAAAGTATTTTTTAAATACCCTTTGACTAACTATTCCTCTGTGCCTCATGAATAAAACTAATAACTCTTACTTTACCTAAAAAGAGCTAAAGGTACAGTTTTGTTATGATACAACTACACACTAACCACATCTGTGTACCCTTCCGACATGCCAATCCACTGTCCTCCTGGCAAACGCATCTGATTTTCAAACACCTCTTCCAAAAAGCTTATATGACCTGCATCAGCGTCATACAGCAATCTGGGCATTGTGGGCATAAAGACAAATCCACATAATGCCGTTTCAAAGGGTGTTTAATGATGTAGATATGACGGATAATGATAAGATGGTACTCACGTTTTCTCTGGGCTGACGTACCAGTCTCCTGCCCAGCTCCATCCTGGAGGGGGTTTGAAGCACTCTTTTGGGAGTTTGACTCTGCCAGTCACGTCACTGAACTTGGGGTATGTCAAACCCGTCGTACCCCAGTTCCCCACCAGAGCCAATTTAGTCTGGTTTTCATACTGAATATGAAATATAAATAAATCACAAATAAATCACAGTTGATTTTTTAAAGAAGTCTCTTATGTTCACCAATTGAGAAAGTCATATTGAGAAATATTATTACAAAAATTGCATTAAAATATTTCAATATTTATTATTGTGAAATTGATTTCTATATCAATAAGCAATATATACACTGTTGGACATTGTTAATAGACAAATTAGTAATTAATGATTGTGTGGAATGTATTTTAAGAGAATTTATTTACTAAAAGCCCACAGCAAAAATGCCAATAGGTGAAGAAACAAAACTATTTATAATATTTGACGGTAGTGTTAAAGTTGCATTTGAGGTAGCTGCAAACTCACCGTTTCTGCAAACACAGAGTGTTTGCCCTCGGCAAACTGGTTAAAGGATTTGACGTCAGCAGTCAGTCCGAGCCACACCTTGACCCTGAGCTGAGCTGGGATCTTACTATATCCCCCATCTTCCTGTGGATTCTGAGCACAACATTACACACAGAGATAGAGTGATTTATCAATGCCCCTGCGGTTCCATTCATCATTTATACTGTAGCTTTGCCTCTAAATAGTGTGTTTACCTTCATGAAAACCGTCTGAAGTTGGCCACAATGCTTTCCGCAATAACCATGGGAAAATAGAACTTGATGGGCAGGGATTCTGTGGTAGGCCACTCGTCTGTCTCCCTGAAGCATCCAGATTATTATATCTGGCAGACTGTTCTGGGGCTGAAAGAAAGAAAGATTTTCTTTTTTTTATGGAGTCACTATTTGAACCAGGTGTAAGTAGCACAAAAATTAATAATAATGTAAGTAATTTAGGCCCTGTTTACAACTGGTGTAAAGATACATTTTCGCTAAACCAATCACAAGTGGACATCACTAAATACGAATGGGGTCTAAAAGGTTTTGAGCTCATCCATTATTTACCACTTCCAGAAGCAGTCAAAAATGCAACTGACTGCACTGTTTTCGTAGTATAGATGCGACGAATGCACAAAAGACCCCTGCCTACAAACCTAACAGTAACCAAACAGTTGATGGTAGCCAGTGACTTCCATAGTATGGAAAGAAAAAATACTATGGAATTCAAAGGTTACCATAAACTCTTTGTTTACATTCTTCAAAATATCTTCTTTTGTGTTCAACAGTAGAAAGAAATTCAAACAGGTTTGGAACAACTTGAAGGTGAGCAAATGATGACAGAATTTTAATTTTGGGGTGAACTATCCCTTTAAGACCAGGTGTAAATGAGTCTCAGCTGACCACTTGTGATTGAATCACTGAACACACATCTTAATACCAGGTGGAAGCAGGGCTTTAGACATTAAGGCCACATCTCTTTCACCTCCTCAGAAAGGTGGCAAAGTCTCTGAGTCCAGTCCTCCGCCTGCTCCAGCACTGCACTCAGCTCGGTCTCTGGTCCATGTTTGAGCGCCAATGCCGCCTGCACTATCTGCTGCATGTTAATCTTGCGCAGATTCCTCAGAGCTTTATCCAGCGCAGTCACACAGGGCCATTTATTCAACACAGGCAGTTCCTCACTACAGTACATACACACAAAAAGGTGCTTTAGTTTGTCATAGTGAAAGCGATACAGCTTTACAAAACACTAGAGCACATCTGAACCTGCAGTCGGCTATGACATCATCAAGCAGCTGGACAACCTTCTGCTCCACTTCCTGTTCATCACTACTTGCTTTGAGTGTCAGCTGTACCTGCTCAAGGTTTGACTCCTATTATAACAGTAAAAAGGATTTGAGGAAATACAGTTATAACTGATTGTGCTTTGATATATTTAGAGGTGTTGATTGGAGCCATATGTTAAATGTTCCTCACCAATCGGTCGACTATGCTGAGCAGCATGTTTAGTGCCTCAATGCGAAGACTGATATCCTCCCACTCTGAAGACAAGACCACCACAGGTTTCACATTTCCCCATGGTAGGTAGTAGTAATGACAGCCTAAATAACCATGTACAACAGTGGAAGTCATGTTAGATACTTGAGTATCACTCATTGGCTTATACATAGGTGTTGAGATCCAAATAACAATTAAAAAGGAAACATTATTATGCATTTGATGTAATACAAAGCATCAATCTTACTATTTTGTTTTTTTTAAATTAGTAGGCTGCAGATATTTGATCAAAAATACAATAAAAACAGTAAAAAAATATAATTACAATTTAAATGGACTGTTTTCTATATTAATATATGTGACCCTGGACCACAAAACCAGTCTTAAGTCGCTGGGGTATATTTGTAGCAATAGCCAAAAATACATTTTATGGGTCAAAATGGTAGATTTTTCTTTTATGCCAAAAATCATTAGGACATTAAGTAAAGATCATGTTCCATGAAGATATTTTGTAAATTTCCTACTGTAAATATCAAAACTTAATTTTTGATCAGTAATATGCATTGCTAAGAACTTCATTTGGACAACTTTAAAGGCGATTTTCTCAATATTTAGATTTTTTTTTGCACCCTCAGATTCCAGATTTTCAAATAGTTGTATCTCAGCCAAATATTGTCCTATCCTAACAAACCATTCATCAATGGAAATCGTATTTATTCAGCTTTCAGGTTATGTATTAATCTAAATTTCTGTATATTATAACGTCATTTTTTTCCTATGGTGGTAAGACTGAATTTCAAGCAACCATTAGTCCAGTGTTCAGTGTCACGTGATCCTTCAGAATCATTCAAATCATTCTAATATGCCAATTTAGTGCTCAAGAAAAATCTTATTATTATCAGTGTTGTAAATAGTTGTGCTGCTTAATATTTTTGTGGAAACAGTGATACATTTTTCAGGATTCATGATTCTTTGATGAATAGAAAGTTTAATAGAACAGCATTTATTTGAAATATAAATTTTTTGTAACATAAAAGTTTTGAAATTTATGAAAAAAATTTGCTGAATAAGTAAAAACAAAACATACTGACCCTACATTTTTAAAAGTTAATATGTTACCCATTAAAAGTACCAGGTTAATAAGATATTAATATTTAAGGATTCAAATGACTCTAGAGGATATTTAGTAAAACAATAGGAGGAATATAACACATTTTTACTGACAATCAGTTATGTATATCCACCTCTTATTTATAAAATTACATAGAAAAAAAGGTGGCATAACAAAATGTATGTAAAATGTTTAGCCAAAATCTGAACATTTTCAGGTATAAATCTCTGGTGGTTTCTCACCATCAAACACGGCCCTGCTGAACTGAGTGGTGGAGGCCAAAGGTAGACAGGTGTTGTCAAATTTGTTGCCATAGTTGCCAATACTGACTTCAAACTGAACAGCATCATCTACATCCTGAAGATGAGTGGCCGAGTAGAATGCAGCAAACAGGGAGAACTTCCTCTTCCGCATGAATTTCTGTATGACACAATACAACAGAGGTTCTTCACTTCTATTAAATGATCCATCCTGTCACATGATCCCATGTCTGGTGCCAAACCCAGCCAGAATAGCTGTGATCTCACCTCTACCACCAGCAGGTCATCAGGGTGTAAGTCTTCAACCTTTTGCTCCACCTGTTGAGACAGCTTTGTGATGACCTCCAACAGCACACGCCCGTGGCTTAATGGTTAGAGAGTCAGTAACCCAAAGGTCACGGGTTTGAGTTTCGGGACCAGCAGGGATTGTAAATGGGGGGGAGTGAATGACCAGCGCTTAATGGTTAGAGAGTCAGTAACCCAAAGGTCACGGGTTTGAGTTTCGGGACCAGCAGGGATTGTAAATGGGGGGGAGTGAATGACCAGCGCTTAATGGTTAGAGAGTCAGTAACCCAAAGGTCACGGGTTTGAGTTTCGGGACCAGCAGGGATTGTAGATGGGGGGGAGTGAATGACCAGCGCTTAATGGTTAGAGAGTAAGTAACCCAAAAGGTCACGGGTTTGAGTTTCGGGACCAGTAGGGATTGTAGATGGGGGGGAGTGAATGACCAGCGCTCTCTTCCACGCTCAATACCACGACTGAAGTGCCCTTGGGCAAGGTACCAAACCCCCAACTGCTTCCCGGGTGCCGCAGCAAAAATAACTGCCCACTTCTCCAGGTGTGTGTTCACTGTGTGTGTTTGTTCACTACTCACTGCTGTGTGTGTGCACTTGGACGGGATAAATGCGGAGCACAATTTCCGAGTATGGGACACCATGCTTGGCCCCACATCACGCCACTTCACTTTCACTTAATGTTTTTAGTTGTGCAGAAATAATGCATTTCATCATAAATTCTTTAAATGGTCAAGCAGTGGTTCTCAACCAGGAGGCTAAGGCCCACTAGGGGGGCCTCAACAAACTTCCAAAGGGATGTCAAGATGACTTAAAATTATTTAAAATAAGCATGAAAATAAAACTACTAAATATGTACCCCCTCAACAGCTTTTCCCCCTTTCTTTCATCTTTCGAGAGCTGGGGTTCACACGGTCCTGAAAAACCTAAATGAGGTAGCCTAATGCTAAAAATGTGATTTCAAAAAATCATGAAAATTAATGATATCTTTAAGCTCTATGGACATTTTTATAATGAATATACATTGTTCTAGTTATGCTGTGCTCTAAAATATTTTATCAGGTAGAAATTGTGCGTAAAAACTATTTTTAAAAATCGTTATTTAGGAAACTGACTGGAAAAGTCATTAAAAAAGTATTGGTAAAAAAAGACTGGGAAGCCCAAAGGACATTTGGTTGGTTGGCTGTTAGTTATGCTGTGCTCTAAAATATTTTATCAGGTAGAAATTGTGCATAAAAACTATTTTTAAAAATCGTTATTTAGGAAACTGACTGGAAAAGTCATTAAAAAAGTATTGGTAAAAAAAGACTGGGAAGCCCAAAGGACATTTGGCTCAAGAGTTGGTTGGCTGTTTTTTTTTCTTCTAGGCTTGACTGTGTTTATGGGGTGCAGTCTAACGTGTGCTAATGCTTCGTTTTTAAAATTTTTCACATAATTTACCTTTATTCCACACCACTCTGTCCCTTCTCCTATAAACGTGCTGATCATTTCCTGCTTTTATGAAGCCCCTCCCTCAGAAATACGTGATGAGCTCTGATTGGTTAACTAGTCAAGTGTGTTGTGATTGGCTAAACCGCCTCTAGTGCGCATCTAAACATCCCGCCCCTCAGCTCAGCTCATTGCTTATCAGTTTGAGCCCGATTGAGACGCAGAGGATATTAGTGAAGAGGATCGCGCAGAACCTGTGCAAGCACGGCTCTGAATGGTATGTTTTTTGTTTGTTGTTGTCTCATACTTTTAGATACGCTGTTATTTGTAAATGCTACTGCTTCTGTTAGCTTTTAACAGTGGGTTATAATTGGTCAACAGAAAGGATCAAATCTGATTGGCTAAAGAGTACGAGTATCCCGCGTGGGAGGAGTTCGCTGCCAGAAAGGTCTCAAAATTCACACACAAATCCAAGGCGATTCACATTCAGCCCATGATAAACTCGTGAATTTTTAACATTCAAAATTTTTTTACACATTTGTACATCTGTGAATTGTGTTTTGCATTTGTGTTTTGCATTTGTGATTTGTGAACGTATTTTATGAATATATATTCTTATTTTGTGCATGTGAATTGGTTTTTGTGAATATATATATATATTTTGTGCACGTGAAATATTTCTTATGCATGTGAATTGGGTTACGCATATGTGCATTGCGTCTTTTGCGTGAATTATTATTGAGATCATTCTGGCTCCATAAACAGTTCATTGTTTGAGCTGAGCTGGTGATCTGAATGAAAGATAAGAGAGAGAGAAAGAAACGTATTGAAATTGAAGACACGAGGAACAGTATTAAGAACCGCTGCTTTAGAACATTGATTTTAAAACTTGTGAATCCATTAGAAGACTGAATCGCGATTCATATATGAATAGATTTTTACATGCACCCCTAGTTTTCTTCCTCTTCTCTAAAGCAGCGCAGCATGGCCTCGCCCCCTTTGTTGCATATTCCCGTGGGCGGGGTTTGTCTGGGTTTGTGATGTCACAAACCCGGGAAGTACCTCGTTGTAATCCCTACCAGCCGTTTTTGTAGGCATTAAACTGCCAGAATTTTAAAAGGTGATATCTTCGTTTGCATTGAACTTTCAGCGCCGCAACTTTGCAGATATTGTTAATACTCAAACAGCAACATTACACACACAAACTAACGTTAAAAAAGTGAAATCGCAAATCAATCACTCCTTTAAAACTTCTAGAATTCAGAAATTTATTGTTGTGAACCTTGGCGATGGAAACTATTATTTTCTGTACGGATAGGGGATGTTCAGACTGTAGTAGACGTGAAGGTGGGATGTAGCCACCAACAGTAAAGGTCAAAGCTGTATGTTGTTCAGTCAGTTAGCGTGAAAGTAAATTTGAAAGTCAGTGAAAACAGTGACAAATAGATAAACGCACCCCTGTGCTGTTCCTTTTGGTGTCCACCAGGGACACAGTGAAAGTAGCAGCTAGGTTGGGAGAGTTGAGCACATCTCGAAGAGCTACCCGACACTCCCCCAGAAACCTGTAAAGATACACAAAGGGCTATTTAACAACTGCCATGCTATTTAAAGATGAGGATTAATGCCAATAAATTGGGATGCACCGATACCGATAATGGTATCGGTATCGGGCCCGATATTGGTCTCCTGTACTCGTACTCGTACTTGTTAAAATGCCCCGATACCAAACGCCGATACAACACAGCATGTGTTAAGTGCCATATTCAAACAAAGAAACACCGACAACAGACAGCAGAAAGGAGTTAAGGATGTCTACTACGAAGTATATGTATGCAATGAATAAAATGTTAAACATTCAGTATTAACGCCTGTATAGCTATTGTGCACAAGCTTATAAACAAAGCACGCTGAGTGGATTGAGCGTGCGGCGGCGCAGAAGAAAACCAACTCCACCTTTCCCTCTCCTTCTTTTTGCTCTCAATCACTCAACATCAACCTACACGCAAATATACTCTTACACACAATGCCAGGAAGTGACACTCTGTTGTGTAAAACCTAGCCTTGTAGCGTTTCTTCAAAATGTCTTTCTTAAATTACATGTGGGACAGGGATGACGTGAATTTATGATGGAAACTATTATTTTCTGTACGGATAGGGGATGTTCAGACTGTAGTAGACGTGAAGGTGGGATGTAGCCACCAACAGTAAAGGTCAAAGCTGTATGTTGTTCAGTCAGTTAGCGTGGAAGTAAATTTGAAAGTCAGTGAAAACAGTGACAAATAGATAAACGCACCCCTGTGCTGTTCCTTTTGACTACAGGCTGTCATTAAGGCTAAGGGTCACCCGACTAAGTATTCATAGTTGTGTAAATACTGTCATACTAACAGCTGCCTGAATAATTTTTGGTTGATTGTAATCCATTACATACCTTTCTATCAAAATTATCTAACATTATCAAGATGAATTTGTTCTGACACAGTTTAACTCTGAGTTCTTGTTATATTTTATTACCATTTTTTAAACTATAGCGAATAAACTGTGATAATGTGAGAAATGTTGAAGGTGTCTGAATAAATTTTGGTTTGACTGTATCTATTTGATAAATGAAGTTAACCAACTAATATTATACATACCCTTTTGGTTTCTGTACCCAATATTTAAAAAAGTTAAAAACTTTTTAAAAATATTTAAAAGTTTTGACTTAGTGCATTAAAACATATTGTTTTTTGTAAAATAAATTGTCAATGTCCACTACAGAAATTCATACTTCATTACACTTAAATGTGACAACATTTTTTTGAAACACAACGAGGAAAAGATTTTTATATTAACACATTTATTGGTTCCATGTTTTAAAGGCTACAATAGACTGGAAACCCTAGTAAAAGCAGTGCATGCTGGGACATAAACTACTGTTCAAAAGTTTGGAGTCAGTAGGACTTTTTTGAAGGAATTAATACTTTTATCAAGGATGCTTTAAAGGGATCAAAAGTGATAGTGAACATATTTCTAATGTTACAAAAGATTTATATTTCAAATAAATGCTGTTCTACCATATGTTCTATTAATAAAAGAAACCTGATTAAAATGGATCACACAGTTTCCACAATCATATTAAGCAGCACAACTGTTTTCAACATTGATAATAATAAGAAATGTTTGTTGAGCACCAAATCAGCATATTAGAATGATTTCTGTCTGCTGAAATTTCAGCTTTGCCATCACAGGAATAAATCACATTTCAAAACATGTTCAAATAGAAATCATTTATTTTAAATTGTAATAATATTTCACAATATTCCTGTTATTACTGTATTTTTATCAATTAAATGCAGCCTTTATGAGCATAAGAGGCCTTAAAAAATTTTTTAAATCTTACTAATCCCAAACATGTAGGTAGACGCTTACTATATGAGCATGTATGACTTTCTATTACTTAGAAACTAAGAATGTAAATGTGTCAGAGTGGGATGCTGTATTTGAGTAATTTAATATAAATATTGACATGATAATAATATTAATGTGATAATGAATTTAGAATTATTTGAATTTTTAAAAACTCGTTTGAATTAGGAATAAAAATTACCTAAAAGCAGATTTTGTTTGTTCTATCAGCCTAATTTCATGGAGGTAAGCAAAAAGCAAAAGCCCAGTAAGGAACCACTTCTGGTTATAATGAGAACATGGGAACGCACAGCAAATTAAGTGGATGTTTACCACGGTCCACACTAATGCCACTGGTCTTTTAAACAATGGTGCATTCCATAAATTCTACAGCTCTCCCAGCTGAATTGTTGAGCAATTGTTTCATGCTGGCAGAGGAGTTGCTTTTGCGTAATATTCTGAGGGACATATTCGTACACTCTTATGAACAGAAAGAGAAATAGAGAGAAAATTTAATTAAAAGAGAGAGAGACCTTACCTATTCCTGCCCATTTTTTCATGGTCCTTGACGACAACATGAAGCTCTGCTGCAGAGTCTAAAGGAACACCCTTTAAGTCCCACTCAAAGCCCTGAGAGAAAGAAAAGGGAATGATGAAAAGGAACAGAATAATGACTTGGCAAACGTTTATAAATCTCATTATAGTAACAGTAGTGGTTAATTAATATTTGTAAAAAGCAATGGTAACACTTTAGAATAGGGAACACTTTCACTATTAATTGAGAGCTTTTCCTCAATAAACTCCCAATTTGCTGCTTATTAATAGTTAGTAAGGTGGTTGTTAAGTTTAGGTATGGGTTGGATTAAGGGATCTAAAATATGGGCATGCATAATAAGGCAGTAATATGTGCTTTACAAGTACTAATAAACAGCCAATATGCTAGTAATATGCATGCTAATAAGAAGCTAGTTAATAGTGAGAATTGGTCCTTAAAATAAAGTGTTACTGAAGCAATTAACCAACCTCATTCCACACAGGATTGACATTATTTTTGATGACTTTGGTCTTCTTTTTTGTCCCTACAAAAACAAGAAAAGAAAAAACACTAACATTTAAAAGTTTGATTTAGTAAGATTTTTATTTGAATTTATTTTTAAACAAATCAATACTTTTATTCAGCAACAATGCATTAAATTGACCAATGGTGGTATATATGTGTATATATATATATATATATATATATATATATATATATATATATATATATACAGATGCGTTCTGTGTTCTGGCGTCCTTCCGAGTTCATTCTTTCAAGGTAACGTTAGCCTGGCAAGACCAGTCTCCACGAGAACACAAGTCCGTTCTTTACATTCTTTAGTATAAGCTAAAATATCGGAGTCTGTGACCAACATACACTACGTGATTTTCTATAGAATCTGTCAACTCAAATCTGCAGACTGGCTCTGACTTTCGGCAACTTTTAGCGTCAACTTCTCCAGACTATAAATCGAGGCAAAAATCGTGCAGTGTAGCCTATTCCAGGCTTTAGTCGCATTTAGAATTATCAAAATTCAAGGCATTCTAAATTGTAGTCGGCAAAAATGCTTCTGTATGTCTTTTATATTTATAGAATTTAATATAGTTAATCTATATCACACAAAGAGTGCCGTTTTTCCTCTAGATATCAGCATGATAACAAATGTAATATTGATTTTATACAAGTTTAATAAAGCTAGCATCAAGTGACTTGCATGTTTTGCGTCTCTGAGCAACACACAGGAGTGTTTACTTATTGAATGAATCAGCTTTGTGAACGAATCGGTTGAATGAATGATTCAATGACTCACTCATTACCACAATCAAAAGACTGATTCCTGAGTGAATCAGCCGTTTGAATGAATCGTTTGAATCTCACTCGTTAACAGTGACTTGCTGCCACCTAGTATGTTTTCATGTTTTAAATCATTTCAAATATCATTATTCAACGTTTTATGTTTAAAAGAAAGCATTATTTATGAAATTGTAACTGCAGGTTAAATACATCCATGTCCTCTCTGAGCTGCATTAAAGGGGTCATATGATGTGATTTCAAGTTTTCCTTTCTCTTTGGAGTGTTACAAGCTGTTCGTGAATAGATAAGATTCCTAAAGTTGCAAAGACTAAAGTCTCAAACCCAAAAAGATATTCTTTATAAAAGTTAAGACTGGTCCACGCCCTCCTAAAACCCCTCGCTCAAATACGCCCCCACATGTCTACGTCATGATGTGGGAAGATTTGCATAACGCCACCCAAATGTTCACGCAAAGAAAGAAGGCGTAACTTTATTGTTGGTTGTTTTTTTTACCTTAAACCGCATAAACACATTTCATTACACCAAATACACAAAATAATGTTCTTTTTAACAACATCATATGACCCCTTTAAACTGTGTGAATGAATCTAAATGCCACTTCAGATGCAGATTGCAGAAATGTTTTCTTATGTTGGAATGAAAGAGAAAAAGTACCGGATGAAGTGCCTCTAACTCAAAGACACAAAATGGAAGAAAGAGTTAAAACTTAATACATCTTGCTGCTTAAACTGTGTATAGAGCCCTTTTTAAAAAATTATTTGCTCCTTTTCCATTTTGCATTTATTTGTACTTTCTGTACTACTTTCTACTTTCAATACTTACGTATGTTTAGTATTTTAAAAAATACTTTTCTTGCTTAAGTACAATAAATATCACATACTTTAAAAATTTTACTCAAGTAATATTCTAAACGGTGACTTCTACCAAAGTCATTTTTCTGGTAAGATATCTATACTTTTACTTAAGTGTGGCTTTCAAATACACTCTTAAAAATAAAGGTGCTTCACGATGCAATAGAAGAACCTTTTTGTCTAAATGGTTCCATAAAGAGCCTTTAACATCTGAAGAACCTTTCTGTTTGACAAAAGGTTCTTTGTGGCGAAATAAGGTTCTTCAGATTACAAAAAGGTAAGAAAGAGATGGTTCTTTAAAGAACCTTTGACTGATTGGTTCTTTGTGGAACCAAAAATTATTCTTCTATGGCATCGCTTGAAGAAACTTTTGAAGCACCTTTATTTTTAAGAGTGTACTTTATCCACCACTGATGTTACACACACACACAAAATCCTTATATGACAGTTATTTACATAAAGTAATTTAAAAGCATTCCTGATATATTCAAAAACATATGTAATTTAGATGCAAGGTTGTAAGTAATGAAAATAAAACTGTACTAAATCAAAAGCCTCAGTATTTAAATTCAGAAAAATTATTTTAAAATAAAAGAAAACATATTATCAGAAAGGGGCATATGAGGACAGTGTGTCTGACGTAATATTCTGCAGTGGCTGGCCTCCAATAAATCCATGCTGAAAATGTTTTCAGTGAGGAAGATGGACAATGGGCACTAACTTCCACCTGACAAATACAGTTGAAAGATTTCCACAGGGACATAGATTGGGCTTGACATTGAGCCCGTATTGGTGAAAGACAATTTATAGCTGATCTAATGAGCAGACACACATTTTTCAAGATGTTTTCAGACCTTTTGTTACAAACAGTAGTCACATGCACAAAAAAGTAAGCTACCAATTGTATCTATCCATGGTATGCATGGTGTATCCATTGTATCCATCTAAATCACCACTGGTCAGTCACGCTAAAGCATTTCAGGAGAGAGCTCTGTTTATCTTCCTGTTTTGATTGGAGATGTCAAGAGGTGTGAATAAAGCCAAAACAAGCTCCTGTGGCAGATATATGCTCAGTGGCATTGTGGGAAAACCCTCTTTGCCTGCCTGAAATAGACCTGAAAACCTTTGTACAAGCCAGAAGAGGATAACACTTGCATGCCATGACATCCTCCACCAAAATGTGATGGAAACTGGATGGAATGTTCTTAACCGTGGCCCTCAAAGTCCTGGGCTTTATTTAGTGTGCATTTCAAAACACATCAGATTGAAGTCGATGGGTGGATGCAATCTGAGAAATGGCCAGGAAACTGTAGCTTTGATAAGTATGAGTTAAAAATAACAAGACTGAGATCCTGGAGTTTCAGGCCCAGTCTAAATACATTTATTCAGTTTGTATTAAACACAAACTGGATATCATACAGATACTGATACAGTTTCGGGTTTGCCATATTGTCAGCAATAGCAAAGCAAACTGATGTATCTCTCTTTCTCTCTCTCTCTCTCTCTCTCTTGCACAGTCTGCATATATTGTTGCTTACTCAGAGCTCAAACTAAGGACTCTGGCAGTTGGACTGGGAGGATAATTTGCATCTGTGATGTCTATAAATGGAGATGGTATTTGATACCATGCCTGAGGAAAAAAACACTTACTGCAGCTAATTTTATGTCTTCCAGTCTCATCCCCTCTCCCTAACATTCACATACAATGGAAGATACACCTGTACACACACTGAAACACAAGATCCCTCTGATAAGAATGGATTCAGACTAATTACATGTAAAATAGAAGCTGTCTGAAACTAAAACCCAAAATGCTTATCTAACGAATTACGGGAACTAAATGGAAAAACAAATAAGAATCATCAGTGACACAATAACAAGGCCTAATGCAGTGACCTACTCTTTGTCCAACTCAGAATAAAGGCCAGAACACCTGATTTTCCTTCAGTTGTTCGGTGTCATTGTTTATAGAGTGGATAGAGTGACTCAGTGTCTGTAAGAATGAGGGGAAGTCTTTTCATCACATGGCAAAGAGGTGGGAAAAGAGATGACTGTCAGTAATGATATGGAAATTCACAACTGTTACATGTCAAGATATGATTTAACATGCACATATAAGGGGGTTTAAGGAATCTTTCCAACAAAATGTAAATAAATATAATGAACAAAATTGAATCAAGTAACAAGTGAATGAATGAACAGATGAACAAACAAATTAAACTCAAAACAAACGCAATGTTGTTATTGTTATCCTAAATGGTTGTTAATTATAATGAAATAAAATAAAATATAAATAATACATGAAAAAATTCTACAGAAATTAGAAAGGTTGCCTTGCCTTCACAACTGAAATGAATAGCTAAATAGAAATATAAAAAAAATTACAAACATAAAATTACCAAAACTTAGTAAGGACAAATGAAAACTATATAAAATATATTTTTAAAAAAAAGCTAATTCAAAATATCAATAAATGCTATGGTAATACATACATAATACTAAAATAGCACTGGAGCAAATGAATGAATGAATCAAATATATGACCAACTTAGCTCCACAAACAATACATCTCTCTGAGAGAAGGGGTACTAAAACTTTTAATGTAGAAATGTAGAAAATCTCTATTCTCCTTGATATTTTCCAAAGCAGTTTGCCAAGTGCTAAATAACACATGGCAGGAACTACATTGTTTCTCTCAGCATCCTGCAAAATTAAGTCATACTCAAAACAAACCTCATCTTTATTAACTACTATTTGCTAACTTAAAAATGTTAAGATCTTAATCTGTTTTCTTGTTTTGTGAAAATGTAGACAATCAAATAGGACCATGTGTAAACAAAGAACAGGATTTTATCGCCATGGATATTCGGCGTACAAAAACACATCAAGCTCATCAAACGCATGTTCCTGTACATCCCTGTGCTGGAACAGGAAACATGAAACAATGAGAGGAACTGCCACTCAGTTTGCAAGGCAGTCTAAAACTAGTGTCCATCACATTCATTCATTCAATGTAAGAACTAATAAAATAATGAACCAAGCTCAGATCTATCCAGAAACCTTTTAGATTATTTAGCATCTTCCACCGATATGATCACTCGGCTATTGGCTGAAATTATCTACCGTCCTAGAGAAAAGTTATCAAAACATTCGTTACATCTCTCCCTTTCAACAAGCAATGTCAAACCGACAGGTTAAAAAAAAGGGTCCCTCTAACTTGAAAGTGAAATGACCTCTTTCATTGTGTAAACTAATATTGTCAGTAAACAAATGCAATTTTACTAAACTAGTCTGAGATGAAAATTATCTATAAATAACACCCATGTACCCAACAGTCCAAATGACTGAAATCTGCATTTTCACCTCACATTCGCGACAGTTTCATAATAGATCTTGCTTTTTTATGCCCTGAGCTGGACAGTCAATCACGTTTTTGATGTCATCTCTTACCTCTGAAAGTGATGCTAGCAAGTGGGTCACTATGCCTCTCCCCTTTTTCTACATTTCCCAGATTGGTCGCCCTCTGTAGAAAGCACCTCAACATGCTGCCTTGATTCCCAAACTCTCCAACAAGAAGCAGGTCAAAATACCATCAAACCACAAAAGAGGGACAGATCCCGGCAGGACCCTCACAAAGGTTTCTCTGAAGATAAACACGTCTTGTGATCTTTAGGTCCAAAGCTGAAGATGAGTGTGATGTCCAGAATGGAATGTATCGGGGGGTTGTATAAGCCCACCGCAATCCTAAAAATCAATTTCTGTTTGCGTCCTTGATAAGGGGTCTGAACTGATAAATGTATTTCACAATCTTCACTTACAAGCACTTCTCACATGCGTACACAGAGAATGTCATGTAGGAACTTAGGGAGCCAAACTTACTGTGGACCACACTTTCCTCTCCAGTGACCCAGCCCATAACTCAAGAGGAAATTTAAACATTTCCTGCAGCTTGTTCTCCTCTCTCATCATCTATCTTTTCTCTATAACCTTTTTATTAGAATATAAAACATTAAAAACGTGTTTAACGTTTTAAAAACTTGTATAATGCAGTGTAACAATTAGTGTAAGCAAAAGATATTTTGGAATTTCATGGCACATGTAATTGCCTTCATCAATACTAAAATCCACTCATTTTCACACTTGCAAACATTAGTTATCATATCGTTATTATATTATGTCAGTATACAGTACTTCAAGAGTCTTTGTGGTCTCTCTGTAGTCTTCTTACTTGTTAGCTGACATTTCCAGGCAAGGAGCACCACCTACTGCCATTTCTGAAGCCTGAATGCACATCTTCCTGAGCTTGTTTTGTTTTTCCTTTTAAGATACTTACAACTAGCTTAATATGCAGAGATAACTAAAGGTGATTTAGCTATTAAAAAAAAAAAGTAGAACACTTTGGCACAAATTTTTGAGCCTCCCAACCAGCCTGGCACAGTAACTGTTGCTCAACCAATGCAGTGAGTTTGGGGCAAGACTCTTCAGTTTGTCCACCAGTGGTAGACGGAGGGAATGTTCAATGCAATACAGTTTGGTGATGTTAGCCTGCACACTTTACCTTTGAGCTTGCATCATCTTTTCATAAACAATCCTGATGTGGATTGAAATGAAATGATGTGATGCCAAATTTACACTGCAAAGGTGGCACAGAAGTGCTTCTGAAGTGGCATTTAGGTGTCTTTCCACAGACTGTTTAATGCTGCTCAGATGTGGCATAAATGCATTTACACAGCAATTACAACTGTATACTTTGATACTAGGGGCTGAGGTGGGTTAAAGCATGCTAAATTTTGTCAGGCTTTTAATCCGGCATTGTATATTTAAACTGAATTATGAGCAGGCACAGACCAGCCTTAGCTTGGCTGTATAAGATGCCTAGATAGCCTATTTGAATGATTTACAGGAGATTTAGTAAAAACATGGGTAATTAGTATCTGAATTACTGTATTTAAATGAAGCATTTTTATGTAAAGAAATAGTTTATTATAAATTGTAGTGTCCTTTTTTGTTAGATCTTCCAAAAGCCTCAGCAATAAAAGACACAGCTACAAAACAGTACGAAGCAACCCAGTAAGGTAATGCTCTATTGTATTGATCTCATATCATGATTTACTGTAGCACTTTTTTGCTTGCGTCTGAGTGCTGGTATATGATTGCCTCCTGATTCAGCAACAACAAGCCCTCTATTGAGCAAACAAACTGCATTCCACAAGAAACACAGAGGGCATCGACCCTGAGGGAGACCGAGCTCCTACGCACATCTGTGGGGGGGGGTTGATAAACATTCAGCAAAATTCAGGTCAATGTACTCAAGTACTTAAATACAAGAAAATATTCAAACAGACAGCTGTTTGATCAACCAGGATCAGACATACACTACCTTTCAAAAGTTTGGGGGAGGTAAGATTTTTAAAATATTTTTGAAAGAAGTCTCTTATGCTCACTGAGGCTGCATTTATTTGTTCAAAATACAGCAAAACAGTAATATTTTGAAATATCATTACAATTTAAAATACCTGTTTTCTATTTTAACATATTTTAAAATGCAATTGATGCAGTAATTTATTTCTATTATATTTTTTTATTCTATTTGTCAAATTTGTCAATATCAAATGAATGTGAAATGCCCCTCTGATCCATCTCACGTGAATTATGGGTCCCTGAAAGCTTTGAATGTAAAGCAAACAGGAGCCCCACATTGAACCAAACTGTGATGACCTAGCATCTCTTAGAAACACTGAGCAGATCTGCAGCACTCTTTCACACGCACATATTCCAACTGCAACAGGACACCCATAAATATATACAAGAGCGGGAGAGAGAGACTGCAACTGCTTTTCCAATAATAGCCCGCTTGATGGAATGTGGAAAGTAGGAAGACTGACAACAAGACAGTGAGAGAAGAGAATGAATGTGATTGTACAGAAAAGAAAATGGTATTCTAGCAAATTCTCTACAACATATTTTTCAAAAAACTACTTTCTCATTCACCCTGGTCTGGCCCCTACCTTCATAAGTGACGGTGCAGTAGGCATCACTAATGTCCTCATCATGCGTCAGCACATTCTGGGCGCACAGAATAAATACACGGAGCATGGGTGGACAGTGGTTACGGCAGGATCCGCTACTAGTAAGTCACAATGCAGCACACTGTGGTCCCACACAGAGATGGACCACTTTGGGTGGGGGTGTCTGGATCCCAAATAAGTCCCAAAGAATCAGTCTGATTTTCACTCCAAGACTAGAAAATGAAAAGAGATGACAGAAAGAAGAGAGTCGAGAGAGATAGACAAGACAGAAAAGCTCTGCCACAGACAGCACATTTAGGACAGCAGTCTGATGGGGCTGCCCCACTTCCTGGCAGCACACATTCACACACAGCTGGCTCTAAAGCAACTGACTCATATACACACTGCCCTTTCAATCACAGACTGCAGCTCCTCTTAAAGGGACAGGAGACTTTTGGTCAGCACCTGTTAAAGTGACCATGACTCACAAGTTTTGGGAAGTTCACTCCTACTGCATAACATTAAGGAAGATTTAAGTACAACTGGCATTGTACAACACCGTATAGATGTATGGAAAATGGAAAAGAATAGATAAGAGATTTGGATGAGAGACCCTTTCCCACGATACTAATAAGAATAAGATTCAAACCTAAAATAATAAAATAAAACAAACTTAAACTCCAAACCATCCTCATAATTTACACAGTCTACTTTATGACCTTATTAAGAATGTGTGATTCCAATTTAAACAATTGAATTTGAGTATATTAACATTCCTCATCATGAATTTATTTATAAAACAATGATACATTCATATACTCAAGTAAATTAGCATTCTTTTTAAAAGTTTTACTGATAGTTTTTTGCACCCTCAGATTCCAGATTTTCAAATAGTTGTATCCCGACCAAATATTGTCCTAGCCTAACAAACCATACATCAATGGAAAGCGTATTTATTTATCTCAATTTCAAAAAATGTACCCTTATTATTCTGAAAACAAGAGCTACTACTGTGCAGTAATTCCTCCTTACATTGCGTCTGTCATAAATGGCGACAAGGTTTGAATGACTTTTTATTTAAGCTTCACATTTTTTTAATTTTTTACATGATTGAATGTATAATAATAATAATAATTTAGCGGAATACCTAACATAAAAGATTATATAGACATTATTTGTGTATAATCAGTCAAACATCGTTATACTGTCATATTGTCTAATGATGTTCCCAACATGAAAAGTATAAATAATAATAAAGGGGGGAAAAGTCTCAAACTATATATTATGTAAGATTTTACAGTAAAGTGAAACTGAAACATACTTCACCTCATCATAAAACCTGCTCCTTAATAAATGAGGAGTTCAGATCTGCTGTACTGCATTTTTCTCCTGAGCCAGAGACAACATTAATAGGTGAGATTTCATAGACCAAATCTAAAAGAGGACACGACTAGAAATCAGTGGTTAAGTTGTATTTACAACACTGTTTCAGAACAGTTCATCCCAAATATTCAGATGTGTGCAGCGCATTTTATGGAGGACTGTTTCCTGATCCTGGGAGAGTAGACTATAGTGCCGGCTGTTCTGACTCACAGTCTGTAAGTACGTTTTTATATTTAAAGAATTTGCCACTGATGATTCAAACACGAGTTTTGAGCAGTGTAGAGTAGCTTTTGTAGTTTGTGCAGTATGCAACGATGCAATGCAACGCGTAATAAGACAGTATAATCATTATAATCCATAATTATGTCCCCCACTGGATGCAACAAATGCCTCGATATGGGTTTTAATGTTTTTGTCTCGTCGCTCCGGCCGGGACAAGGCATCACAATATGGTAAGGGGCGTAACATTTCCGTCACAAGCTTGAGGTATTCGGCCAATCACAACGCATTGGATAGCTGACCAATCAGAGCACACCTCGTTTTTCAGACCGATGAGCTTTGTAAAAATCGACGCGTTTCAGAAAGGCGGGGCGTAGAGGAGAAACAATAATGTACAGTATGTGAAAAATAATGTGTTTTTTGAACCTTAAACCACATAAACACATTTCATTACACCAAATACATAAAATTATGTTCATTTTAGCAACATCATATGACCCCTTTAAAGCAATGTATTATAAAGCAATTAACCTAAGAATGTTGTAAATACAAAATTAGACTATATAAATACATACTGATGACTTGACATTTCACATGTAAATCAATCATGTAAATGCATTATTTTTAATAGATTTTTACAGAGTGGGCACTACTGATAATCAAAAAGATTATCTGTTTTTCAGTGAAATTTCACATGTAAGTCAAGTTAGATTGATTGTGAAGATTGTGTGAAGAATAGCAAAATCATACTGTATATATTTTAACATAAGCACTGTGTGCTTTAAGCTATTTGTTAGCTATGCTGCATATTGCAAAACAGCCAGTGCTCAATGTTTGAAAATAAAAGTTTTAGATTGCAATGCAATGCTCATTCTGTTAACTACTTTTTTCCTTGTTATATAATATATTGATTTTTGATCACTTCTATGCAGAGCCTCATGGTGTCCCTGTTTCTAACTTACAGTCATGACTTCCTTCAGTTCATCACTCTCTGGTGAGCCTCTCCAGTGCCATGTATGTCTGGAGGTGCTCACTGACCCAATCACCACTTCATGTGGACACAACTTCTGTAACATCTGTATCGAGGCATGCTGGGAAAGTGGACAGCTCTATCTATGCCCACTCGGTAAGGAAAGAATTTAAAGTAAGCCAGAATTTAAAATAAATGCAGCATTTAAAAAGGTTGTGGACTGTTACAAGGTGCTTCAACAGCCAAAGAAACTTCAACACCAAACAAAAACGTTTCATCAAATTTTATGTGATGTCTGCTCTGAAAGCAAGCTAAGGGCAGTAAAGTCTTGTTTGCAGTGTGTAACATATTTCTGTGAGAATCACCTTGACCATCACAAAACTGCACCAAGGCTCATAAAGCACAAACTGACTGACCCTGTCGAGCACCTGGAAGACTATATCTGCAGTAAACATGATAAACCACTGGAGATTTTGCACTGAAACAGAACATAAGACTCATAACACTGTTGCTATAGAGGAAGAGAGTGGACACAAGAGGGTAAGACAAGAGATATGAGAGATTAGAAGACATTTTAGTATATTTACTGTAACGAATCAGCTCATGAGGAAATATGAATAATTAACCATAACCAGTTATAATTAATTATTCATATTTTAGATCCGCTGTAGATATTTAGCTGACCTCTCAGGGTCAACTGTCTTGTCAATTCTAAGAACGTTAGTTTCCTGGTTAAGGGAAATAACTTTCTTACTGTACAATTCTACAAAAGCTTGTAGCATAAATTTGCATGATTAAGTGACTCCAGTTATGAGCAAACAATGAACAACATCAAGTGTGATACAAGTAAGGTTTTATTAACTACATAAACACTTAAACTAGTCTAACATACTACATAAACACATAAACTGGTCTAACATCCTACATAAACACATAAACTGGTCTAACATACACATACACACACACACACACATACAGTTGGTATAGGAAAGGGTTAAAGCTTAACTCAGTACAGAAAGAGACATAAGGACTATGAATTTATAGAAGTCAAGTCAAGTCAAGTCACCTTCCATAAAGCCCCGACTGGTGGAGGGCTGCAGTGATGGTTGACTTTCTACAACTGCACATTGCACCCAAAATTGTTTGGTGTGATACGATTTCAAATTTAGGGGTGTAATAAGATTAATATTATTTGATACGATTATGATTATTAATATAGTAATTATTATTAAGAAAAGAACGGGAGAAAAAGATGCAACGTTGCTCTGTGATTTTGCTTTGGAACCCTCAGAAAAATTTAACTAACTTTAACTTTTCTTAAAATTTTTTCTAGATCCTGCATTAAATTTATATTTTGACCTCACTATTCGGGGAACAGACACAGTCTTTATAGATTGTACAGCGCAAGTACTTCTATCATTTAAGCGGGTATAACAAAAGTCATCAGGGCAGTTATTTGAGATTTGACTTGTCATATGGAGCGTAGCGTCCTGGAGATGTTGTCCGATATGAGCTCCGCTCCGACTCTGCTGGGGTGCAGGCCATCAGCGCGACAGTATACAATTTCAAAGACCAAATACACGATGACAATAATATACCCAATGACCTGAAGGATCATGTGTGTTCATTCAAAGAAAGGTTTTCCTATGAATTAATTAGTAGAAAAGTCCATTTCTACTCTGCCTCTTGCCCTGGGACATGCAGGGATTTTCCCTGCTTTGCATTCTTTTGGCCAATAAACCCAGTGATATCAGCGTTGGTTGCCATGCAACCAGGTGCCTGTTCGGCTTACTGGGGTGTTACGCATTTCGGGGGGAAGGGTTCATGGGTCCTCATATGGCTTGTTAACTGAGGGGGGTTACAGAGTATTTGTTAAATATAAAAACAAAATATATATTGTGTGTTTGATTGGTCCAGACGCTACATTACTTAATTCTACTTAATGAACTGTTCACACAAAATGAATTTACTTATCTCCATGTCATTCTAATTTCTTCTGTGAAACAAAGAACGGCACTTTTCCATTCCAAGAGGGGTAATCCAATAACACGAGCAATAGTCCAGGCAACGTGCAAACACTGTCCGAAACAGCAAGACAAAGGGTTAATCCAAGAAACACAGGCAGAAGGTCAAGAAACAGACACCAAGGCAGCATGAAGTGGCTAGACTAAGACTAGAACTAGAACTAGGAATGGCTCCATAATGCAGCTAAAAGAGTGATATGCCCTAAACAATACTCAGCAGTTTGAGAAGGATCTGAGTGAGTGTAATATAGTGTGTGTGTGATTGGTTACAGCTGTGTGCAATGATGGGAAATGTAGTCTGTGGTGTCATGTAACAGTCTGTGTCGTGAGAGAGTCAATATGATGGACGAGTGACCTCTGGTGGCGATCGGAAGAAAGTCCATGGACAGGATTCGTAACAGTTATTGGCCAACAATTTTCACTGACACAAAGCACTACAATAAACTACAAAAACTGCACATTAAATCTACAGGTAAAAATATCAGCTAATAATTTACATTTTGGCTTATTCTTTACAATATAGATATATTACTTAGGTGTATATTACAATAGGTGATATATTACTTTAAAAAAACATTTTACTGTAATATTGAAAACATCTGGAAATTGAATTGCCAACATATGAATTAAATAAAGGATTTGTAAAGTAAACTGAATTGGTCAAATTCACCAAAATCACTGCAACAAATATTTTTAATATTGTAAGAGAACAGTGCTATGTATGTTTGCACTTGATGGATTTGCTTTAAAAAAATCTTGCTCTCCATCTTCAGATTCAACTGGAAAGGACACAGCCAGAAATAAAGGTGATGATCCAGGACAGATGTAATAAGATTAAGGAGATAAAAAAACTTAGCAAAGTCCAGCAAGGTGTGTTGTTAGTGACAAGTCAACATATTTTTTAAATACAACTATCTACTAGAGGTGGTGGAAAGAATGATTTGGAATCTGACTGGAAACTTCAGTGTCTATTATTCTTCTCAACATAGCCAGAACACCAATGAGAGAAATAAAGCTGTTCACTGATCTGCTACACTCCATTGAGAGATGTCATTCTGAGCTGCTGGAGGTGATGGAACAGAAGCAGAAAACAGCAAAGAAGCAGGCTGAGGAGCTCATTAAAGAGCTGGGGCAGGAAATCACTGAACTAAAGAGGAAAGACACTTAGCTTGAGATGCTCTCACACACTGAAGATCACCTGCACTTCCTACAAGTGTCACGGAATACTCCGAAACAAGATCAAAGTGCAGCATTTATTAAAGAGTCCAAAAACAACAAGTCAGTTTTCCTTGCTCAGCTATATCTCTTAGAATGCTTTATTCAGACCAAACCACATGTTTAGGGATCTCCTTTCTCTTGCAATACTGCAGACTTGAACGTCTCTAAGAGGCCCCCCACAAGTCAAGTCCTGGACCAGCAACATTACTGATATGAACATAGATCTGAACACAGAAACCTTGGACAAAGCTCTTCAGAACCTTCAGGAAAACATCAAAATGGAACTGAAGAAATTCTTTGAAATCAGTAAGTATTAAAGGGGTCATATAATGCAAATTAAAATTTTCCTTTCTCTTTGGAGTGTTACAAGCTCTTGGTGCATAAAGAATATCTGTAAAGTTGCAAAGACTAAAGTCTCTAATCCAAAGAGATATTCTTTATAAAAGTTAAGAGTCAGCCACGCCTACCTGAAACGGCTCGTTCTAACATGCCCCAATATATCTACATCACTATGTGGGAAGATTTGCATAACGCCACCCAAATGTTCACGCAAAGAAAGAAGGCGTAACTTTTATTCTCGCTGTATTATTGTTGTTGCCGCCGTCATGTCGTGAAGGCGCTGTGTGTTTCGTTGTGAAAGCGAAACTACTTTGTTTGGCCTTCCAAAAGAAGACAATATCTGCTTCGTCATGCCTGGAGCTGATCCGTGCTGGTCGCTGAGGAAATACAACAACTTTGCGCTGTGGCTCACCGGATCGGCTTTCACCGTGAACGAAGCGGAGTCCAGCCCGGGGTCGTCACATGTGGTTGCCGCAAGCCTTCCGGATGCCCCTTCGTCGAATCCGCCGGCCATGCCGTTCTCAAGCCCGCCACCTCTGCTCACTCTAGCCCTCCGGCCGTTCCTCACTCTAGACCCCGGCCTCCGCTCACTCTAGGCCACCGTGTGTGACGCTGTGTTTCATTGTGAAAGCGAAACTACTTTGTTTGGCCTTCCAAAAATGGACACGACTAGAAATCAGTGGTTAAGTTGTATTTACAACACTGTTCCAGAACACTTCAACCCAAATATTCAGATGTGTGCAGCACATTTTATGGAGGACCATTTCCTGATCCTGCACAGCAAAATCCCCAGAGTTAAATCAACTCTGCTCAGAGTACATATTGTCCCAATCTACAGAGTGTTAAAGTAACACTGAAGCCGAGTTAAAGTTAATGGGTTAATTAAGCAATTAATTCATTGATGAGTGAGCATTTGTAAAGAAAACCCGCTGTTAACAATGTTGAAGATGAACAACTACTGCTCATGCTTTTAGACATGAAAACATATCACATAATCTTCAACAGTGGTAACTCTGCTTCAGTGTTACTTTAACACTCTGTAGATTGGGACAATATGTACTCTTAACAGAGTAGTAGACTACAATGCCGGCTGTTCTGACTCAGAGACTGTAAGTAAATTTTTTATATTTAAAGTGTTTTTATATTTAAAGTGAGCTTTTTAGGCAGTGTAGAGAAGGGCTTGTTGTTTGTCATTTCTCCTAACACAAATGCAGACATGGTTTTATGTTTGCAACATTTCCGTCACACGCTTGAGGTATTCGGCCAGTCATAACGCACTGGATAGCTGGCCAATCACAGCACACCTTGCTTTTCAGACCGATGAAAAATTGACGCGTTTCAGAAAGGCGGGGCATAGAGGAGAAACAATAATGTACAGTATGTGGAAAATAATATGTTTTTTGAACCTTAAACCGCATAAACACATTTCATTACACCAAATACACAAAATAATGTTATTTTTAGCAACATCATATGACCCCTTTAAGAAATTATTAAGGATTTTAGGAATATAATTAACGTACATATGAGCAGTATCACAAGGCACAACACCATAATCACAGTCATGCTGTGCATCTCAGTTTAACAGATGAGCCCAAGCCTCCATTACAAATTTGAAAAAGTCATATATACTGTAGAACTAGTAACAAATGAATGTTGAGTTGCTTCATTGAAGTTAAAAGCAATTGTATTATGTAGAGTATTATGAGAGAGAGATTGACAGAGCGAGTGTGATCACCTACATTTCATTCATTATGAAAATAATTTTGACTGTCTGCAAAGGAAAGCATTATCTTTGTCATAGTATCCTTTCAATGGTCATGAGAATTTCACATGATAACGCTGGTCAGTGCATTTTTTGGTTGTGTCTTATAAAGTGTTGTTGAAAGTAAAAAATAATGTCCTCGTTTATAACCTTCTTTCTGTCCATTTCAGTATAAAAGTCTTTGCTACTGACTCACTCAAAGACTCTTGTCAGTGTAATCAAAATCACCATAACCAACACACACACCATTTATCAATACCAAATACTATTATTAATATAAAATTATTATTTATTGAACAATAATATGTAATGACAATAGCCATTATAAAAGTTGCTAAGCAATTCTATCAGAAGTACAAAGACAGTGCTCTGATACAGTAAACAAGTTATATAAAAATATAAAGTTATGAAACTTTGCCCTTAGCTAATACTGTTGGAACAAATAATAGATTAATGAGACCAAAGATTGCCCGTTAGATATACCCAAGACAAATTACATAGTATGTTTAACCAGACACATCAGCACTAGCGGCAAATTCCAGAAGAGTTGGCCGAGGTAAGGCTGCTCTCGGTGGGTTCATGAGCGCTGAACAGCCACTGACGCCCTGTAGCTCACATCTCCGAAAACGCTGAAGCAAATTTTCAAATAGGTGCTATATCTTTTTAATAAACGGCATGTCTGAAGTCTAAACAACTACATTCTCTACTAAAAGACTCTTAAAACTGCATTCTGTGACACAACAAAAGTAGTATTTGTAAAAGTATATTCAGGGTGGTCCTCAGCCATGATGCTGGCTGTAATATAACTGCAAACGGAGTGCTACAAACGGTGATATATACTTCCACTAGTGCATGTTTTTGAATCACTTTTCATACCTTCAGTTGTTCAAGAGACTTCTGGATCAGATTCTGTGAGTACAGATTCTGTTCCCTCTCATCCTTTACTGGTGTCTGAAAGTTCTTCAGTGATGGAGAAAAAAAAGATGTATCTGCTATCGTGAGCACACAGCAGGGCACTCTGACAGAAGTTTTAAATACTACAACAAGCAGTGTTCAGACAGAAGACAAAATCTACTTTAACAATAAGAGCAGCACTCCCTCACCAAAAAGAGTGGAAAAGATTAATAAAAAAGTTGTTGCCACTGGTAAGACAGGACCGAGGATGGTTTTAACACTTTTTGCTTCAAAGTCTTCAAGTTTTTTTTAGTTGTTTCTTCAAGTTGCTTTAATCAATGGGAAAAGAAGCTGAACAAGTGCATCAGACATTTACGTTCGAAGAGGGAGCCAGAGAGGATTATGATGCAGTAATCACAAAGCTCGATGACTACTTCGTACCCAAAGTTAACGTTATTCACGAGCGTGCACGATTCTATATCAGGGTTCAAAAGCCAGGTGAAATGGCAGAGGAATATATTCGCAGCCTGCACAAACTAGCGAACACATGTGACTTCGGAGCCACGAAAAATGAAAATATCCGCGAAAGGTTGGTGATAGGGATTCTGGACCATAAACTGTCAGAAAAGCTTAAAATAATGCCCGATTTGACACTCAGAAATGCCATAGAGCTTGTGAGACAATCTGAACAAATTCGTGGACATGTTAAGAACAAGCTGCCTGCATTAGTGCTCAAATCAGCGAGGTGGCCGGTGTAGTGCCGAAATTTGCACCCTGCCAGATTATGCATCCCCTAGTATTGGTAGGTGTGGGGGAGGGGTTAGCATTAGGGGTGGGGTTGGGATTAGGCAATCAGGTAGCGACTTCAACGAGGGGGTGCATAATCTGGCAGGGGTGCAGAATTCAACCCAACACCAGCGGCAGGGGAAAACCCCATCACAGTGAAAGATGCAGACAGCACAGTGGCTCAAAGAGAAACCAGACAGAGCATGCAACTGAGTGGAGATGCAAAAGATGCAGCAGAAATCACGGAAAAGGGGAAATCTGTCCAGCAAAAAGTGCAGAGTGCCGCAAATATTAATGCTGTTCAGTTGCTTTGTCACAATCTGTATTGTTAAAAGCGCTATATAAATAAAGGTGACTTGACTTGACTTGACTTGAAATGTAGGAAAAAGGGTCACTTCGCTGCAGTTTGTAGAACCCGAACAGTCCATGAAGTCAACAAACCACAAGGGGGCAGCAGTATAACACACTTTCTGGGTGAGTTAACTCACATTGATGATAAAAGTGGAGCATGGATAGTCACTCTCCCAATACAAGGCATTGAGATAGACTTTAAGATTGATACAGGTGCAGACAAAAGTGTAATTTCTGAGAAAACCTTCACTTTTGAAGTAAAAGCCACAACTCAAAAGGGTAAATGTGAAACTTGAGAGCCCAAGGGGTGCATTGCACTGCAGAGGACAATTCAAAACCATTTTGAAACATTCGTTGTGACTGGTCACCATGTAAATAATCTTCTTGGTCATGATGCTGCAAGTGCAATGGGCTTAGTGAAGAGGTTAGTAGAGCTCCAACCCATTTCTTCTTCTTCTGAACTGGGGTTAGTAAAGATTAAACCCATCAAAATCTGCCTGAAAGAGGATGTTGAACCGTACAGTATGCACACTGCAAGACGGGTATCTGTGCCCTTGCTCCCTAAGGTCAAGGCAGAGCTAGAGAGAATGGTACAATGCGGTGTCATCGAGGAGATCACCAAGCCTGCTGAGTGATGCGCTCCTATGGTGGCTGTCCCAAAGAAGACAGGGCAGATTAGAATTTGTGTCGATCTAAAACAACTAAATAAGGCTGTAAAAAGAGAGAAATTTGTGCTGCCAACAATTGATGACATTCTTCCTAAGATAGCACACGCCCAAGTTTTCTCCCTTCTCGATGCAGCTAGTGGCTTCTGGCAGCTGCCACTGGATATAGACTGTGCCATGCTAACAACTCCTTTTTTGGAGATATTTCTTCCGCAGACTACCCTTCGGGATCACCAGGGCACCCGAAATCTTCCAACGGGAGATGTCAGCCATCCTTAAAGACTTAGAAGGGATTGCAGCGTTCATGGACGATATTTTAGTGTACGGCAACACCCCTGAAGAACATGAGCACAGACTGCATAGGGTGCTGGAAGCCATTAATCGAGCTGGTCTCAAGTTGAACACTGAAAAATGTCTGCTGCGACAGAGTCAACTCAGGTACTTAGGACACGTCATAGACAAGGAGGGCATACGCCCAGGTACAACAAAAATCGAAGCTAACACGCACCTGGAAAAGCCACAGAACATCTCAGAGCTAAGGAGAATGTTTGGAATGATTCACTACTTGGGC